AAGAGGGAAGGGTTTTGGCAGGGGCCCAAGCCACTCTAGCAGGGACTGAAGTGACGGAGAACGTGAAGGTACCACGACAATACGCAGATCTCCGCGACGTTTTCAGCGAAAGGGAAGCTGACCAACTACCACCGCATAGAGCCTTTGACTGTCAAATCAATTTGCTCCCTGGGGCACAGCTCCCTGTAGGCAAGCTGTACGCCATGTCAGACAGAGAGATGCAGGAGCTAAGAGAGTTCATTGACAAGAACCTGAAGAGAGGGTTCATCAGAGAGTCCAGGGCGGTGGGGGGCAGCCCAGTGTTTTTGTGGACAAAAAAACACGAACAAGCCGAGACTGGTGTGTGACTTCAGGGCCTTAAATGCAGTGTCAGAACCAGTGGCCTTCCCGATGCCCAGGATTGACGACATTTTGACAAGGGTGCGGAAGGGAAAGATTTTTACCAAGCTGGATCTAAGGGGGGCGTACAACCTGATACGAATAAGGAAGGGGGATGAATGGAAAACCACCATGTTCACCCCTTTAGGGGCATTTGAATACTTAGTTATGCCCTTCGGTCTACAAGCAGGCTCCGCAACATTTCAATCGTTTATGAACCACGTCCTGGGGCCGTTGCTTTACAAGAATTGTGTGGCCTTCTTAGACGACGTGTTGGTGTATTCTGAGAATGAGGAGCAGCATGTGAGAGACGTCAGAGAAGTGTTGAGCAGGCTGCAAGCCAACCAGCTGTGGGTGAAACTGGAGAAGTGTCAGTTTCATACCAAGGAGGTGGAATTCCTGGGGTATCGCCTGTCTGACAAGGGGTTGGCCATGGATCCCGACAAGGTCCAGGCGGTACTGGAATGGAAAACACCCAAAACAAGGAAGGATGTGCAGAGGTTTTTAGGGTTTGGGAACTTCTATCGTAAGTTCATCCCAAACTTTGCCCACCTGACGGCGCCCATTACGGACTGTCTCAGCAGTAAGAAGAAGTTCGTTTGGACGGAGGAGGCGGAGCAAGCATTTGAGGAACTAAAAGGGCCTTCGCCTCGGAACAACAGCTCCTGCATGTGGATTTACAAAAACCGATGAGAGTGGAAACTGACGCATCAGACAGAGCGGTTGGGGCGGTGCTTCTCCAGCCAGGGAAGGAGGAGTCAGAGTGGAGACCGTGTGCTTTTTTCGCGAAAGCTGAACAAATCCGAGAGGAACTACACGGTGTATGACCGAGAACTACTAGCCATTCATGAGGCGTTCCGGAGATGGAGGCACCTGCTAATTGGCGCACAACATAAGGTGCAAGTGTGCACTGACCACAAGAACCTAGAGTATTGGAGGACGGCACGAGTGCTCAACCAACGGCAAGTGAGATGGGCCCAGGAATTCTCCAAATTTAACTTTGAGATTTGTTACGTGCCAGGCCCAGAGAACATTAGGGCGGACGCTCTCTCACGCAAACCTGAATATTGGGAGGGGAGGGAGCACCCGAAGAGAGACATGTCATTCCAGAGGACCGCTGGGTGTGTGGGGCGGCATTGGTGGGACAAAGAGAACTGGTAGAAGAAACAGAGAATGATGAATACGCCCAGAATAAGCTCAGAGGTCTTAGGGATGAGGGAGAGGAATCAAGGGGTTTCGAGGAAAGAAATGGAGCTTTGTATTACAAAGGGGCACTGTATATCCCTGAAGGAGACTTAAGGGGAGGGTACTCAAGCAGTTGCATGACAGCCCCACGGCGGGGCATTTTGGGCAACACAAAACCATGTGGTTGGTCACCAGGGAATTTTGGTGGCCTAAGGTGAGGGAGGATGTACGTGAGTATGTAAGAGGGTGCGAGCAGTGCCAGCGAGCCAAAGGGGAAAGGCGGGCGCCGGCGGGGCTATTAGAACCCTTACCAACACCAGAACGACCTTGGGAGGCAGTGTCGATAGATTTTATGACTGATCTGCCGAAGTCCAAAGGGAAAACAGCCATCATGGTGGTGGTAGACCTACTAACAAAGATGTGCCACTTTGTAGCTTGCTCGCATGCAGTCACGGCGGAAGAGACAGCGAAGTTATTTGTAGAACACATTTTTAGGTTGCACGGGGTGCCATTGAGGGTGGTCTCAGACCGAGGAAAACAATTTACTTCCAGGTTCTGGAGGAAGCTCATGAGCTTACTGCAGGTGGAGGTCAACTTTTCGACTGCCCGGCACCCTGAAACCAACGGGCAGGCGGAAAGAGCAAACGGTGTCCTCCAGCAATACCTGAGGTGTTATGTCAATGACAGAGAGAATGACTGGGTAGAAAAGTTGGCGCTGGCGGAATTTGCCTACAACAATGCCGAGAATGTGTCCACAGGGATGAGCCCCTTCTTGGCTAATTATGGGTGTCATCCCAGGGCTTTCCCAGGGGAGAAGGGGAGAGATGGAGCGTACCGGCAGCCGAGCATTTTGTAGAAGAAATGGAAGCAATCCACCGTCAGCTCCAACTCAACTTAGAAAGGGCGAAGGAAGAATACAAGAGGCAGGCAGACAAGAACCGAAGGGAAGGTGAAACCATAAGGGTTGGAGATAGGGTGTGGCTGTCAACCCGAGGGTTGCCGTTCAAAGGAGGTTGTAAGAAATTACGACCCAGGAGGTTGGGTCCCTTTGAGGTCATTCAACAGGTCAACCCAGTGGCTTTCAGGCTCCGGTTACCCAACCACATGAAACTGCACCCAGTATTTCACAGGTCGTTACTGTCACCGTACGAGGGGGGACGAGAAGGGATGGCCACTCGGGGACCGGTCATAGAAGAAAGAGAATGCAGCAGTCATGTGGCAGAAATCCTTGATGCCAGGTGGAAGGGGAATCAGGTGGAGTATTTGGTAGCGTGGGAAGGAGAACCGGAGTCAGAAAACACGTGGGTAATGGCCAAAGATATCAATGACGAGGTATTGATAGAAATGTTCCATCAAAGGTTCCCGCGGAAACCTCAGCCTGTGGAGAGGTTCCGGAGGGAATACTTTGGGACCACTGAGGAGGAGGAGGAGTTGGAAGGATTCCCAGAATCGGAAGGGGAAGGGAGATGGACTCGGAGGAGGAGGAGTGCTTCGAGACCAGGAACCGCAACAGGTGGAGAGAAGTGTTCGAGACATCGGAAGATGAAGGAAGTTCATTCCGGGGTTTTGCCTCCTCACCGCCCGTAGAGGAGGGGGCGAGAGGGGTTGAAGGGGGCCCTGGAGGGAGGTGGATGTCAGGGAACAGCCATCGGAAGGACGGGAGGTGAAAGGACTCAGACAGGATGGAAGAGATCCAGCAGCTGAAGAGGGAACCAGCAAGGGAGAGAAGCTGAACTGAGGGAGGTGAAAGGGCTCAGACAGGTTGGAAGAGACTCAGCAGCGGAACAGGAAACCAGTAGGGGAGAGAAGCTGAACTGAGGGAAAGGGAGCTGGGGGATGGCTCAGAGATACTTCCAGCGAAAACAGTGGTGAGGTTTCCGGACCTCCTGTAGCGACACCCACTCCTCGCCGGAAACTGTCACGCAGAGAGTCCAGAAGACGTGTTTCCGTTAAGGAGCTTTTATGTTGGAAGCGATTACGAAAGCAACCACTGTCGGAATCTTCTAGTGACTAGAGGAGCCATGTCAGAGGGGCTCAGTCACAGACAGAGGTTTGTGGACTTGAACAAACTCTGAGG